GCACTGGAAACGTTTACTAGTACCCTATCTATGCCAATCACCACCGTGAGATTCAACAGGAGGAGAAGCATGATCAAACACGACATTAAGACCACCATGATCGTTACGTATCGAGATGTAACTTTTTTCACCTCTCTTGACATTTCCTTCTCCTCTCCCTCTCTTGGCAATTCCTTCTCCTCTCCCTCCCTTGGTATTTCCTCCCCCTCCCTTGATATATCCTTCTCTTCTTCTGTAGTAGCACTGTCATACGTACTTTTCCACCATAGGGTTGAGACTAGCCACTCAAACAGGGCTAGAAAGAAGAGTGCTGTTGCTATTGTGGTGCCTGTCCTGAGTATATTGAGCTTTATGATGTCAAGAGCCCATGGATATTGCTTGATCTTGATAAACTGTTCCAATGGACCCGGGAACCAGTTGTCCATACCCTTCCAGATTGGCGTGCATTGGTTTGGGGAGGCACCCCAGCATACCTCGTCCATGCCAAGAGACACTTCGGTTGGTATATTTTTCAAAGCGTTTGAGATGGCCGTAGCCTTGGAAGATACTTCTTCGACTATCCGACTTGCTCCTCCCTCGATCTTGGAGGCAACGTCAGGGACACGATCTCTAACATCATCCAGGTCAAAGCGAGAGACTAGTTTGGGGAATTCGAATTTAATTGTCTCGATACCGCGTGTCTTTATTTCCTCATTGAAAATTGCAACAATCATGCAGCTGACGCTAATGCATGACGCTATAACAGCTACAGCACTTGACATTCGAGAATGGCGCCACGGATTCTTCATTACTCCAACTTAGCAAATGATAGTAACCGAGGGCTTTGAAAGATAACTCTCAAGAGGGCGACGGACTTTATATCAAAACCGCCGGGATATTACGGTACAATTGCTATTTTCGTGCTTGAACATTGTATACCGTCCAAATCTGGCAGATCCGGAGTTCGTCAAGCAACGACAACAATAGCCCGATGGGTACCTCAATTTTTATCGCCCTGTGAGCGTTGTCTGTGACAGTACTAGCAGCGCCAGCGCGGCATATTGTCGCGTCCGGCCAAATGTATACATGTGAAGATTTATTAGCAGGCCTCGTGGATCATTCGTTCAGGGTATGCAAGTGAATTATTGATGACTGGCATAGACATTCTGACTGTACTTGAGTAGACAACGAAGGTCAGAGGCTGCCAAATGCCATCGATAGCCGCCAGACTTACGACACTGCCACAATAGTAGCAGCATATATGATTGACGTATATGGCAGTTGTACAGCGCGCTAACTCTTATTGTGTGGAATGACCAGAGTCCTTTTCTGATGTCAAATGATACACGGTAATCCATGTTGGTGGGGCCGGTTGAGACTGTCACGATTCTAATGTGATGCCCCCCTTTTCTATAGTTGTCATCTTTGGATAGGTGTGACGAGGTACTGTGGGAGGGTGGAATATCTCGAGTTTGATCTAATAACGAATTCGTGGTCACTGCATACAGGCTGCATGAAGTAGTTAAGCTATGATGAGACACTTTGAAGAAATATGTAAAAGAACATTAAAATACAACAACCCAATAAATATCTCTCCAATACGTTAGCCTAGAGGAAAGCATTGAGTATACGTAATATCGGGTGTTCTAGCCGATTAAACCAGCAAGCATGAAGTAGATGAAATACCCAGGGTGGAAAGTGCAGCTCCTGGATCGTCATACAAGACGATATCCGGCTGATATTTTCACAAAACATGAACGATGTGTAAAGACCTCAGAATGTGGATAACCGTGCAGCATTGAGGGAGATGTCATGGGAAAAGGGAAGTGGAGAAATTTGGGAAATGGAACAAGCTTCGTGGAGTTTAACCCCGGGGCTTCTGATATATTTCAATGCTTTTGATGAGCCAGTAGGCCTCCCGTAGGTGGGAAGGGTTAGAAGCAATGTACGTTTTGCAGTCACCTAGAGCCGCTGTCTCGGGATTTGAATCCCAAATACCAGGAGAGCCTGCCCAATCGCCGCAAAAGGTAGTGTCAAAGACTATACGGTGCTCTTTGAAATGATCATCAAGGTGGCAGCCGTCACCGCCATTGAACCTAGCCGCAGCTGGACCCCAAGATGTAGGATCCGGATGGCCTGTCCGAATGTCACTGGGGACAGAACCGCGCTGAAAAAACCAAACGGCGATATATTCTGATGTCCACTCAGTCGCATAGACACCGCCCTTTACGCTATTGAACCCATTGCCATAGTTCTGGCTCCTCGACGTGATCTGGCCACAGCCTCCCGGTGCATTACAGTCGTCACCGATCTGCAAAGTACTCTGATCGCTACCTTCGTTATTGACAATGCAGCCGGGCCCAGTATGTAGATACATGCCATTGTGTGTCTGGGTATTTACACCCTCTATGATATCGATCTCACCCGAGAAAGGCCAGTCGGGTCCGAACATCCAGAAGGCAGGCCATACACCGGGGATGCTTCCAGGCATATGGGTAATGTCAGCAATGAAAAGACCGTGTGTAAAGGACTTTTGAGAGTGTATGCGGACAGATTTGCGACCGTTCGGGGGGTTTTCAGTTTTGTAGTCGACGCCCAGATAGATACCATTGCCGGAAACCCTAGCGAGGCCTTGGGACTTCGCAGTGGTCGAGTCGACATATTCAACGAACCCGTGCGTAGGATCATCCTCGTCGAAGAAGTCAAAAGAATTGAAGAAGTTGGAGGAGTCTATCCTATTGCTAAGGGTATATTGGGCACTGGCATTGATAC